TATGTATATTCTATTGTCAATGATTGATGCGTTACAAATGATTGGGATCCCCTTTATATAGTAGGGAAATCCTAAATAAGGTACACTTCTAATTGTAGTATGGAATCTTATTATACAACTGTCTAACCAGCTAGTACAATCCGGAATTTACGCCGCGATCTTAGGGTCACTGTGGGAATCTCGCTCTTTCTGTTATGAAACCATAACGATATGATCTCGAGCTTGGTCATACTTTTCCTCAGTGTTCATCGAGCACTTCAATCTTCGAGTCGTGTACTCCGCCATCGGGCTCGAGCCCGGTCCATTTTGAACTTGTTCTCGAAGCGACCCCTCGAGCCTACGGAATCGGGCATACCTGATTTCGACCGTATATAATATATATATATATATATATATATACTAGTTTTAGTGTACGTGCGTTGCACGTTAATAATAACACATGATGATTTAAACATTTATTTATATCAAGGAACAAAAAAAACTAATTAATGAGAGAAATTTTATGTATAATAATACAACAATCATTTAAATGCCGAAAAATATTATTACATTAGCATAATACATGAATTTAAAATAAAAGAACATCATCAAAACTTACAAAAATGATCAATTTGGTCATGTTAGTTAGATAATTATGTATTATAGCTTAAAAGTATTTAATGTGATGGTATCTATACGAACACTCTTCGTGGACACTATTTTTTTCTTTTTGTGCATTTCTTATCGATATCCCTCTTGAAAGTGCAATATACAGTTCTTCGTGTAAGATACATATTGCGGTAAAAATAGTTCAATATTTAGGATGTTTGTCCTTGTGATTTATTTGTTATGTTTGCAAAATATAAACATACTAAAATTATTTTCACACAAATTTAAAAGGATATTCCTTAGTTCTGAAAGACGAAAGTTGAATTCAGGGATAAGAATATACTTAGAATCACATTGACCATTATCATAATTTTTGCATGTATATCGTTATTGTCAAAACTTCTATATACCATCTGTGTGCTATTACATAAGTTATTCGGTGTATCTAAGTTTTTCAGTAGCATGACGGACATATTTTTTTCAAAATTAACCTATATACAACGAAAGATCAATTTTAATTTAGTCCACTATATATGCGGTGACACTAACATACGTAAGAAATAATAAAGTTGACAACAAACATGTACGGTAGAAGGCCATTTAGTATTAAAGTATTTAAGTATTCNCCTTAGCTTTATGTTTTGATGATCTAACAAACTTACTGTCAAAGAACCAGATAAGGAACCTGATACACTTGGTACACAACTCAAATCAACGGACTTAAGCTAATGTGAGTTGCTATGACTTCAGAAGATAAATAATCAACACAGGGACCTGATCCTCTTGGGTTCCCCTGACAGCAGTACGAAGTCAACTGCCTACAGCTGGAAAGTGAACCGCCTGCACTATACACACAAACAGTGCAGCACAGTACAACAGTCACTTCTCATTGACCAACCAAATGATTACATCATTCAACTGATGTCATCCAAGTTGTATTAACAAAGAGCATTACAACAAAATATCACTTGAACACTTGAGAATTCATTCAAGCACTCCAACTGTCTATCCATCAAGCATTTAATTCTCAAGTGCATCAAAAACAAAGTACAACACTACTACAGACCAGTTCCTACAGCAAGTATCTTGTATGTCCTTAGTTGAGTTGTAACTTTGTATTTGTTCTTCCTTGTAATTCCTACTTTGCTTATATAGAAGCTTTAATTAGGAACTCCTTGTAAACCATAAACCTTTAGTGTTTGTGTCGTGACTAGAGTTAGTCATGAGTTAAAGTCTTTGTAATAGGTGTATTGCAAAGTGGCTTGTAATAGGTGTATTACAAGTTAGTGAGGGATTAAGAGTTTAATTCCTTGATTGCATAGGTTGTAATATAAAAGATTGCTCAAAGTGAAGTTGAAATCCTACCAGTGTAGGTCGTGATTTTTTTATCCCCCTGAGCAGGAATTTTTCCACGTAAAAGTTCCTTGTTCCATTTACTTACTGTTTCATTAGCTTTATCTGTGGAAACCTATATAGGACCTGGTCTCTATATAGTTTGGTGGACTCACATATTTTATTAGATACATGGATCTTTCCTCAGTGCTTCCGCTCATTTACATGATAATTAAGCTGCTACCTCATTGACTAATTCATTTTGGTGCCTTTGCTTGTTTATATAGAAGTTGATCTTTGATTAACTGATATTTTTTGGGTCTTTTTCCGATTTAATCAAAGTTACTTTAAGTGATTCCTTACAAATTTTTATATTATTTCNAGCTATTCGGTGTATCTAAGTTTTTCAATAGCATAACGGACATATTTTTATATAAAAGAAGTATATAAACAAACTACAAAATTTCGTCTTAAAGAAGTATGTGCCTTGGTGGGAGGAAATGACTCATAGACAAAATTTTATTAATTTTAAATATTAAAAATTAGCAAAAAAGATAATGTAATCCAAAAAATAGGTTATTGCAGTTATATCCTTCCCCTATGAGTTCTTCCGCTTAATATTTTAGGGCTATTTTGGGATATTAATATTGTATTTATATTTTTACAATAAATTAGAATCTGTTTTTTCTAAATAGATTTGCACAATATAATAAATTCTCAAATTAAATTAGTGATAGGACATTATAATATGTTCTCGAATTAAATTAGTAATAGAAATATTTAAGAAGTATATCCTAAAAGTAATATGATTACATGACTAAAGATATTTACTTGTTCAATTTTATATGAATTTGACCGCCCGAAAGTAATTATACTAATAGGATTCCTAAAGGTAATCGTGTAGGATTCCTAATGTGTAGTATTAAAACTAACAGGATTATAAGGTAATAGCTAGAATTCTGGTTATATCATTTTATTGTAAGTCACTATGCTTAATATTATAAGGTTATTTTTGTAAACTGACATTGTATTCATACTTTTATAATAAATATTTAAATTAATATGAGTACTTATTATCGTTGTTGGCCAAACATGAATAGGATTATAGGTATACTTGGTCCAAAAAGAAGTATGTCGATGTCTCACAAGTAATTACTAATAGGATTAAGAAGGAATTTAGGATCCAAAAGGTAATATGTTTACATGGCTACGTGTTCCTAATAAAGGTAATTGGTATTCGTAAAGGTAATTGATTTACGTGGCTAACATGTACATGTATGTCCTGAAACTAATAAGATTATAATACTAATGTCTAAAATTCCAATTATATCCTTTCATTATGAGTTATTATGCTTAATATGAAAAGGTTATTTTTCTAAAATTCATCTATCTATAGATAGATAGATAGATAGATAGATATAGATAGATAGATAGATTATTTTTCCTTCCTTCTCCCTCGACGATCGGGTTTTGGGTTCTTGCAATGGGTTAATTTGTTTACGCAATGACTCATTTACACTAATGCTATTGAACCATGTAGTGGAAAATCAAACATATATCGTGGTTTTATGCTTGATTATGAAGGTGGTGGTGGTTGTTTTGTTAGATATGGATTGGGTTATGATGCATCTACCGAAAATTATAAGGTTGTGAAGATCTTTAGTTTTACTCAGATTGAGAGCAGATATGAGAGCATGATTAAGGTTTATAGCGTAAAAGCTAGCTCTTGGTCAACTATACAAGGTTTTAATAGTGGTTATATAAATGGAAAGTTGGGTGTGTTTGTAAACGGGGCTCTTCATTGGGAAGAATGCTATTGTCATCGGCAACCGGCAAGGCTAAACTCAGTCGGCAAGGCTGATATAAGAGTGGCTCTGATACCATCTGTAATAGCCCCACTTGCTACTGATATTGTCCAATCTTGGCCCAGGCCCACACTGCTTCAAAATGCGTCACTAGAGTCTAAGGCTTGTTAACTTATATACACAACATTCCTCTTGTGTTTTGCCGATGTGACACCCTGTCTAAAGTCTGGGGTGTTACAGTGACGAAGGAGTACAATGTCGAGAAATCCTAGACTAAATTGGTTACCATCTCATCACCCGTTTATTGTAGGAGTTATATCTCACCGTTGTTTGTGGAAGAGAATGGTGTTGAATTTCTGCTGAAGCTTGGCAGAGAGATAACACTGTACAATTCAAGGAATGGATTATTCAAGCGACTTCACCGTTATGTGTTGGGTGATTTTCTTGAATTTCAAGTGGCCACAAACTTTGAAAGCTTTGCTTCACCTCATATTTAATGATGTTATGACTGGTTCATTTTGATAGGCTGTTGAATAACTAGGTGAGTGAATTTGAAGATGTTCCTTCGGGGACATCCGATTAAAAAAAAAAAAAACTTGATTATACGACAGTTGGATAGCTTATTACTTAGTGGAACTTGTTTGCTCAAATGATTTTAGGTTGATTACTTGAAATCTAAGTGCTGCAAGTTGTTCCAATGTAAGTTTTGGCATGTTCTTTGCTCTCCAGGAACTGCGGTAGGACCATGAATTTTGAAAACATGAACAATTAAGAACAAAAACAAACAAAAAAGCTACCAGCATATGCTTTATTTTGTTTATTCTTGTCGCTGAAGATGTACCTTTCCACTATGTTTAGCAGCTGGGCTCTGCAAGACGATGTTATAATGTGTGAAGGAAATCTTTTTCTTTTTATATGTGTTATAAGTTGGGTTATGCTAGGAATTTGGTTGGGTTATGTTAGGTCACGAATTTGTATGTTGTTGTGATAGGTGTGGTAATATTGATGATATGAGTTGAGCTTACTGATGATTCATATCTCCGACCTCCAACTTGTTTAGGATTGAGGTGTAGTTGTTGTTTTTGTTGTTGTGAGATTTAGAGAATTCCCAGATTTTCTTAGAAGACAATATTGTGTATTGAAATGAGATGAATTCAAAAAGAACGGAGTTGATATAGAAGATTCATGGCCACCTCGAACTAATTTGGGATTGAGACGTAATTGTGGTTGTTGTTATTGTAGGACAACAAAGTTAGATTCAATCTGTAGGATTCATGAAAAAGAAAATCAACAACAATTTGAGTGCATTAAATGGAAGATGAATGTTCAAATGGATTACAACTTGAAAGAAGCAACGACAAGATATACAACGACAACATGCCCAGTGTATTCCTACAGTATGGGTAGCACCGATAAGATATCATTCCCTAATTAAATGGAAGTAAGTTCTTGACTCTTTTTTTCCACCTTCATTCAGTCCCCTCCTTGAACTGGCTAATTCATAAATAAATAGGCCATTTAATTAACTCTTTTTTCTTACTCATCTGCAATTTTGACAATCTTTTTGCCTATATTATCACCACAGAATAGCCCAATAAAAGCAGAGGGAATGCTTTCAACACCTTGTGAAACATCCTCAATGGCCTTAAGTTTTCCAGCTTGTAAGTACTCAACAGTTTTCGACAGGAAATCTGCATACACTTTCATAAGATCAGCTGCTAAGAATCCTTGGATGGTAATCCTCTTGTATACTATATCCAACATCTCGGGTGCAGCTCGTGTGCTAGCATTCGTGTACTCAGAAATAACCCCACAGATGGCTACTCTCCCGAATGAGTTCATGTTTGCCACTGCTGCTTCTAGCATCTTGCCTCCCACGTTGTCGAAGTAGACATCAATCCCTTGAGGGAAACACCTCTTCAGAGCAGACTTAAGGTCAGTTTCTTGTTTATAATTGAATGCATCGTCGAAACCTAGTGTTTCTTTGAGCAACTTTACCTTTTCTTGACTACCAGCAGAGCCAACAACATAACATCCAAGTAATTTAGCATACTGTCCAACTAAATTTCCTATTGAACCAGAAGCAGCAGACACGAAAACTTTCTCCCCTGGTTTCGGCTTACAAACATCGAAAAATCCACCATAGGCTGCAAGTCCACTGAATCCAAAAACTCCAACATGGTAGGATAAAGGAAACCCCAGAGGATCAAGCTTATTCAATAGCGAACCCTCTTTTACTCTAGTGTACTCTCCCCAGGTAAGAAGCCCTGCAACCAAGTCATCTTTCTTGAACTCGGGCTGATGAGAAACTAACACTCTTCCCACACCATAAGTGTCAATGGCATCCCCGGGAATAATGGCTGCTGCAAAACTGATTGCTGCTTGCGACGAACTTTGGCTCTTCATCCGGTTTATTTGATATGGATCAATTGATACATACAGATTCTTGACAATAACCTCCTTGGACTCAGGCTCAACTATAAGGGAGAGGTTTTCAACTTTTATCTCAAAGTCTGATTCTTCTGGTGCACCATTTATGTTGGATTTTATTGCTACATACATGTTTTTAACTTCCATCTTGTAGGTAACTTTTGGCTTTGCACAATATTAAGAGAGGGTGAGAATTAAGTGTAGAAGAATGTGATGGGAAATACTCTCAGAAAGGCTTATATGACTCAACCATTTTTAGGTCCTCATATACTGATAACTGATAAGTATTAGTTCACTGTTTCTTTTGCAAATTCTCATTAGATTAATGTGGCGGCTACACAACATCAAAATGAAGAAAATGACAAGTACATAGGATTCTGTTATGCCGGCTCAGCTAAAATAGATTGTTACTAGCATCAAGATTGTCACTATATCAGTATATCATATGCCTATAGAAATGGGCAAGAATAAGACAATTTAAGCGGCAGTCCTTGCTTTGCTTATAACTAAGCTTTTGTTGTTTCAGTTCGTCTTTGTGATTGCCTTCAAGTAACTTCTTGACTAGGTAAGCTATGATTGAGAAAAAAATATGCGTTAATTTAATAACATTTACAAAGACCGATGGGTAAATTAATACTCCCTCTGTTTCAATTTATGTGAACCTATTTCTTTTTTAGTCTGTGACAAAAAGAATGACCACTTTCCTTATGTGGATACAATTTATCTAGTTACAACGATTTACATGTAAATCAGACCCTCCCCCCACCCCCACCCCCACCCCCCTCTTTTTTGGATAACCGAGAAATTCTCGAGGGTTAGTAGTGCAAATTTTGCTTGTGTTTAATCTTTCCCGAATGAAAGTCCTATGTGCAGTTTGGAGGGAGATCTTTCATATCTTTCGAGAGGTCGAAACTCAGTAGACGATGGCACGTATCTTTATCCTTCTCTACTTAAATACAAGGTTATTATCTTTCATATCTTTTGATAGGTCGGACTCATGACATACACATTTAATCCACACATCAAGCGCTGCGCTCGTACCACGAGATCAAGGGATTCACATTGACAGACTCGCTGGAAAGTATAGGATTACCTCATAGTTATTTTAAACCATTTTAGGCGGCTTCCAACTATATCAACCATTTTAACTGTTGTATGGACGGCAGGATTTGGCTCAATTTTCAGAATAAAAATACCACTTTTAAATTTGATAGCGTCTGAACTTTTCAAAGAAGATTAAGAAAAGTAGCTGAACAACAAGAACTTAGAATTAAAAATAACTGTGCCAACCACTTGACTAGATAAAACATGCAACAATACAACATCTGATGCAACCTAAACTAATAAACCATCTGAAAAAATAGCACAAACAACTTAATTTCTCTGCTTTCCTAGTGTAAGCTAAATTACTTATCATCACCAACATGAGGTGAAGCTAGACTCTCAACATAAGTAACAGCTTGTACTTGAAGACAACGACCTGATGAATGAATGTCCAAGGATTTGTACGAAGCGTTCCTCGAGTTGTACAAACTTATATCCGTACCAAGCTTCACTAAAACTTCGTCACCATTCTCAGACACAAACAGAGGTGAGATATAACCCATACGACCAAAGGGTGACGAGAGAGAAACCAACTTAGTCCATGACTTCTCCATACTATACTCCTTCATCACCCACAAATCAGTCTTATCCGGATAATAGTTGCAGCACGCAACTAGACGTCCACCTAAAACACTTAACATCCAACTGAAGTCTCCATTTCCATTTCCATTTCCACAACGAGGCAACGCCATTACTCCATACGTCTCAGTAGCCAAATCAAAAGTCATAATCTCCTTAGAAGCACCTGAATCGCGACATTGGCTTACCTCCCAATGAAGAGCTACATTCGCAAACAATCCCGATTGTGCATTTACATAACCACTATTAAACCCCTCAATCATTGTCCAAGAATTAGCCCTTGAGCTATAAATCTTGACCACATTCTCATATTTCCCCTCATCCTTAGGAAAACTAAAGATCTTAACAACCTTATAATCATCATTACTACTATCATAACCAAACCCATATCTAACATAATAACTTACACCACATTGAACAAATGAATCTTGAAATTCTTTGTATTTTCCGGTTGATGGGTTCCACAAAATCATTTTTAATGACACTGCTGTTAAACATAATAATCCATTACAAGAACCCACAAATTTCGCAGATCCAATAGGGGCTTTCAAAGTATAATCAAGATTAGCAACATTCATTGAGGAATTTTTTTCACACACTATAGAGTAAATAGAGCTCATTTTACCCACTAAACCTGATACTGAAGCTACTATAGCAAGTCTAAGATTCACATTTCTGTAATCTTGAACAGAAAATTTGATTTGGGTGTTCATAAAATGTGGACTTGAAAGTAAAGAAAGCCAAGATTTTGAAACACACCTTAATTTCAACAGGGATTTTACTGGCAACCTTATGAGAATTTCAATGATAATTTCATCTGGAAGGCATGAAAGTTGCAATAAATCTTGGGAAAATTTTGTGGGGTTTTCCCCAGATATTTGAATTATTATTGGCTTTTGATTTTCCATTGAAGCAAAGCTCTTTCTAGATAGGGATATGGAGGAGGTGAGAACAGAGATATGGTTGAAGTCTTTGGATTATTGACTTTGGGGTTTTCTCCAAAATTTTGGGTTAAGTTATATGACAAGTTGCAATGGAAGTCCTTATAATAAAGTCTAAATTAATTTCAGCCAGAAATTTTTAATGGTCCAAACAATAAACATAACAGTCAGGTGACAAGAAATTTTATAATACTTACAAAGTTTTATGAAAATGGTGCCGGCTTGGTCTAAAGCGGACAATGTCATACTATATTAAGATCCCGTTTGGACATAAGAATTTTTTCCCTTTTTTTCAAATAATTTTCACTTTTTTCCGAAATCAGCGTTTGTTCATAAAATTTTCAAATTTCACTTGAAGATGCATTTTGAAATTTTTTAAAATTCGAAAACCTCAAAAAATTTGTTTTTTAAAATTTTTCACTCAAATCACTCAGAAAACTTCAAAAACAACCCAAAACTATATTCATGTCCAAATACAATTTAAAATTTTAAATACCATTTCACTTGAAAAAAATTTTTACCCTTTTTTTGGAATTTCACAATTTTTATGTCCAAACGCCCACTAAAAGTATCTTCGGGTTGGTTTATCCCAAGAATTGGTCAGAGTCCAGGTCCGGCGGGACGAGTATGGCAATGGTTGTTGGGTTAAACCAACCCGAAAATACTCTTAATATAATGTAATATACTCCGTTTTGGGCCAAGCCCCCACGGTTTTTCCAAAAGGCTTCACACAATTAAGAAATCTCTACCACTTATATGTAGACTTCCTATTTTTTCAGCTACCAATATGGGATTTTGTTCGCACGCCCAACAGAAACTAATCCATATACACACTCTGCTTATTTTTTTAAAAGAAAAAAATCATCCCACAATCTTCGGTTTTATGGTTCATTACAAATATTTTTTTAATTATATGATATTTCTTACAGGAATTTAATTAAATATTATAGAAGATCAATAAAAAAAAACGCATAAAATCTTGATACAATCATTTTCATGTTTTAATTGATTATAGTAGATCATTTTCTCCCTATAATCAATATAAACTAAAACATGAAACTCCAACTTTGTTGTTTCTTGAAAGTAATGTGACAACAATCACCAAACTACTTTAGTTCAGATATATTTTATTTAAATTTTTTCTTAATGTTGTTGAACTGTATGAACAGACTAAACTAAAATTTTAATCTATTAAAATAATCTTCTGAATGGGAATGTGGAGGAGGTGAGAAGAGAGATATATGGTGGAAGTCTTTTGACAAATGACTTTAAAGAGTTCTCTCCACATTTTTTGATAAATTTATGGCTATAAGACAAGTTGCAATGGAAGTCCTTATAATAAAGTGTAAATTAATTTCTGCCAGAAAGTTTAATGGTCCCATATAACAAAGAGTATTTTTCATTTTTAATCCGTATCAGAAACTATTTACATTCGATAGCAAGAAATTATATATAAAATTTGCATAATTTTTGCATATAACATACAAAACGTGTGTGTATATATTTGGCTATTATTTTGAGAGCGGCTATACAATGTTACTTTTCCTGTTATATCAAATCTTTACATGATTATTTTCTTTTATTTAAATTGCAATCGGTCGTATAACGTATTAGATCTTTTCTCCTCAGAATCAATATGAACATGAAACTCCAACTTTGTTTAATCTTAAAAGTAACATGATAACAAGTAAACAACCACCCAACTATCCCTTTTTTTTTTTTTAATTTAAAATTTCTTTCCGATAGTTGAATTGTGTGAACTGTCTTAGCTAAAATTTTAAAATATTTGAAGTTGCGACAATTTCATAAAGTCTTTTGGGTAGCAACTTGACTTTTTTCCATGAATCAAACGTGCGATAATATTTTTTTGGTTGATGATGGTGATTTGAGATCAGAACCTTTATCTACTTTGATACTAATATTAAAGCGCGTGAGCCAAAAGCATGTATATAATTTGATATTAATATTCGATAAAACTTATGAATAATTTGTACCAAAGTTATGATCCGTCCAGCATAACTTGTGAATAAGGCAAGTTTAATCAATTCGACTATGTGTTATTTTTGTACAAATTCCTTCGATAGTGACAAAATGACGACGCAAATCATTATACTTGTGCAAATCACCCGATCAAAGGTGCTGTAATTTGAAATTTTACCTCTTATAGCAAAGCTTTACACCCCATTTATTATAAATAAAAACCCTTTTAATTTTTTTTATAGTTACCTTTTAGATTTTATAGCAAAATATGTATTTATGGTCACTTCCTATCGTTAAACCATTAAATAGGCTGTCTAATATTTTTCTCTCTCATTCTTTCAGTTTATTCTCTCCCAAAATCACCGCATAGTATCGTATTTCTCTCTCCACGATCTCTCTCTCCTCTCTCCTCTCTCTAGGCGACATGGAGACCTAGCAGCTGCCATGATTGTTTTCAATATTGTTTGCTCCAAATTTCTCTCCCCGGCTCTCTCCTTTATCAGCGCCTGCCTCCCTCAGTTTTCAATATTTGTTGCTCCAAGAAGTTATTGTAAGTGTTAAAGTTTTTGGGTTTTGACCGGTTAAAACTTCTTCTTTTTCTATTCTACAGTTTTTTATTTTTAAATATTCACCATTGTTAGATTTTCTACAGAATACCCACTAAACCACTCAATTTCGAAGGGCCATCTTTCGATAGTATAAAAGCTTTGTTAGGTTTTCTGCAGAATACCCACTAAAGCACTCATTTCAAAGGGCCATCTTTCGATTTGCAAATCACTCAAGAGGAACCTGTATTTGCAGGTTCATCAGCAACCATTGAAGTCAAAATGACCCTAATTGTAGATGTATTTATATGTATTCGAGTCCGAATACATTGATTTTCAGTTTGTACAGTGATTTTCTCTTCTTGTATTTATATGTATTCGATAAGGCATACGATGATTTTTATTTTGTACAGTGATTTTTGACTGTTGTATTTAGATGTATTTTTATGTATTTGAGTTCATACAAAAATATTTTTAAATATATTGATAGTTCTATCATTTTGATGTTATTCATCAATTAGTTATGCATTCAATCTAACTATATCCATCTGTATTTAAAATAATAATACAGTGAAATACAGTAAAATACTCTCAATACAAATCG